GGTTGGAGGAATTCTGACTTCATTTCTGACTGGGTGTTGCGGGATGGAGTTGAGAACACTCTCATCAACAACAGTCTCAGTTGTAAAGGTCTTCAAAATGTTCCTTGTAACAGGCATTGATGGCTCTTCTTTCCTTGATCAGGTGTCCTCCATCCTTAGGTCTCAGTGGGGTTGGTCCCTGAGTGCTCAGATCATAGATGACTTTGGTGGCACTGAAAAAAACATGCATATCATGGATGTCAGTGAGATGCTGAATCTCCTTTGCCTTGTCTCCCCACCATCTGTTCTTCACATTAAGGGTCCTCATTTGGACCTCTGCTTTGGCTTGTTTCTTTTGCTTGTCATTCTGCCAAGTACAAAAGGCATTGCACTTGTGGTTGATTAACTCTTGGATCTCCCAGTCATTCTCATCAAACCAGTCTTGATACTTCATGGTAGAGAATCCAAATGTCTCTTTGTAGGTGCTGATGAAAGTGGAATTGAAGGAACGCCAAGCACTGTCAACATTCTTCCATTGTTGTTGATTGGAATTTGCCAGTTTTTTGTTGAGACACTGTTGGAAGAAGTCTTGCTGGATTGGGTCCTTGAGTCCTTTGAAGATGATCTTCCATTGGCATTGCTTCTACTATAGTCATTGCTTGGGAGCTAATTTGAATGACATAACTGAGTGCATGAATTGGTTATCACTCCAGCACTTGCCAATTTCTAGCATAGCTTGGGTGATGCTGACATTTTTGTGATCCTAGGCATGAACAATGATGTAGTAAATCAAGTGCCAATGCTTGGATTTCAGGTGTTGCCATGATGTTTTGTGCTTGTTTTCTGATGGAACAGGATGTTACTAATGGTAAGTCCGTGTTCTGTACATTTGGTCAAAAGGAGGATGCCGCTGGAGTAGACCGTGTGTACTCCTTACTTGCCAATGGTTTCGTTCCGGAGGTTTGAGTCCCCCCTGACTGGTATTAAAATTACTGAGAAGAATAAGTCTGAGTCCCTCTGGAACACCAGAAAGAACTTAGTCAAGGTTGGCGTAGAATTCCTCCTTGATTTTGTCAGTGGCTTTGAAGCAGGGCATATGCGCTGATTATAGTGTCATATTGGCTGATAGGGAATTCATTCTGATAGGGAATTCATTCTGATAGGGAATTCTGATAGGGAATTCATTGAGTTGGTTTATGAGTTCATTCTTAATGCCAAAATCAATTTTGTGAAGCTGGCATTCTCCTTCCCGTTTACCCTTCCAGAAGAAGGTATAGCCACCTCCTTGTTCTTTGAGATGCTCATCTCCTGCTCACTGGGTCTCACTCACAGCAACATCCATATTGTGTTACCTCAGCTCTTGAGCCACAATTGTGGTGTGATGCTTTGAGCATTCACTATTAGGATCATCCATAAAAGTCCTGATATTCCAGGTCCCCAAATTGATTGTGTGTCTTTCTTGATTTCAACTGCAGTAAAAGTGATCCCACTGGTTGTGATTATCCAGTCAGGAAATAGGTAGCCAGAATATGTTTAGGGCACCTTTTCTAGCCTCCTATCCATGTGAGGTGAGCAGATACTGAAGAGGGCTGTTTAGTTACAGTTACAGCTGCTGAATCACACTCCTAGCTCCAAGTGCTGGACAACCTTCTTAAAACTGCCACCTTCTTGCCAGTTCATGACTAGCAGCTTCCAGACTTCACAATTCTGCTTCCATTGTCACTAGCTGGTCACCAAAGGACTTGAAGAATGTGCTCAAAAAGCTGTTTCTATGGAAGATGCCTGTGAGTGATTTCTTTTAATGTCTTCTAACACTCAGTAAACAGGTCCTAACTGCCAAGGCAAAATATGGCTATGATCTGTTTGTTGGGATACAAGACACGTAAGTCAAGGAGTTAGTTGTTTCTTCCTTAAAAAAAACCCCAGCAGATCTTTAACTTTGAGTGAACAGCCCCCAATGTCAGACAGAAGGAAATTTGGATTAGCATTTCATCAAATGGGTAATAACTCTAATGGTACTGTACTCAGCTGCTGCATCAGCAGTGAATAACAATCTCTGGCCTTCTTAAGCCTTCAGATTCAAGGAACGTTACCAGCAGAGCCAGCTGAAAATTTTCCGTCAAGACAATATTTGTTGAAAAATGGTAGCATTGCAGTGATGTTGTAGCCATGCCTTTAAAAAATGCCCTGTCTTTGAAGGCTTGTCTAAAACTACACCAACCATGCACTTGGTCTAGTAAAAGATATCACCCAAAAAATCTTTGTTGAAAAATGCCATTTTAAACAAAATCTAAATGTCTTGAAAAGCATGTAAAGTTTCACAAAACTGTGTTTCAAAAAACAATTGTAAAGAAGTATATTAGTGATGCTGAAATTACTCATTTAAAATTTTTGGAAGCAAACATTTAATTTTTTTATTTCAAAAGGATTTTTGAAACAAAATGAACAATAATACCAATAACAACAATCAGAATGATAATGATAATTACATCTCACTTTATCCTGAAAGACTCAGAGCAGCTTATATTGTTTCAAAAAATGTTTTTAGGTCCTAAACTATGCAACTGTCTACATGTGGAGTGAGAAGCCTAATTTAAGTCTCTCAGGTATGCAGATATCAGCCAAATGTTTATTCTATGTAACATTCAGCATCAAAGTGCTTTATTATCCAATTTAAACCCCACTGGAATAGGGCTTGTGGTATATTGTGAAGTCCTTCTGCTACAGGGTGCCTGGATAGTAAGTACTCATACCAGCTTGACACAATCCAATTACAAAATCAAGGGGTGTTTTTCAGTAGACTACTTTAAAATGTAGAAAGATGATATTGTTAGACAGAGAAGGAAGTATCCAGTTTTTATATGGGGCAGTGAAGCATTTCACCTCTACTTGAATGGAATTACTTGAATGCTATACCCTCACATAATGAGAGCTTTTAGAAATCTCATATTTACTAAAGGATTGGCATTTATATTTCAGCTTTAGTGATTCAGAGTATTATAGCAGGCCATCAAATGCAGGAGAAAAGATATTCTGCCACCTCTAGCATACAACAGATCATGTAATACAAAGTATAAAACTTAGTTTCATTGCATGTGTTATTTGAAAGAAATGGGCTTGGGAAAAAAGTATATTCAAATAGGCAAGAACTAATTCAGAGGTGACACAATTGGTGGCATAACTTATACAAAGGTGTGAATATAAGCTCATGTTACTTTTATATAGAGGGGACAAAAGCAGAACACTGGAGAAGGTTATAGGAAAGATGTAATGACATGTGACTTAGATCATTTAAAATAACTCTAATGTTGGTCCACACAGAACAGCATTATGTGAATATCTATATTACAAGTCTGTTCAAGGGATGAAGTGCTATTCAGTGTTAGTAAGTGTGGCAGAATAAGTATTATAGATAACTGATAAAAATGTGGGAAAAATACTAAATGGTAATCTGTAACTTTGGAAAAACAGTGCTGGATAGACATACCTTTTTCTATTAAGGTGGCATACTATTTACCATATTTTCCAGCATACAGCAGGTCTCAAATAAAACACCACACCTTGTTTTTGGTAGAATATAGGGAAAATAATTTTTTCTAGGGTCATAGATAATTGTGTGACATAAAATAAGTCTTCCTGGGAATACAGTGTGTCCAGGAGACAGTCTGGATGAGGCAGTAGGCAGCAGAAACTTTCTGATGCCAGCTGCCTTACCCAGACTATAACTTGCAAGGTCAGTAGCAAGACTACTTTTTTTTTGCCATAAGTAGTTCTTTATATACGTTCCTTTAAATAGGCTACAGTGTTCAGCCAATATCTATGGCTATGAAAGGGTTAACATAGGATTCTGTCCCTTCTGCTTGCTAAACCAAACAAGTGGCAGTCATCTTGGTAGCCGCATAGCATGCAGTTTTCCAGTGAAAAAACAGGTTTTCCACTTAAATTGTGTACCCCAATTTTGGGAAAAAGGCACCTGTCATATGCAAGAAAATGGGGTATTATTTTGTAACTCAAGTTTAAGTATCCTATATCAGATTTTAACTAATGAAAGGTAAAAGTTGAATGACTGAGTGAGGACAGAACAGCTCACATGACTGGTAAAGGGACACTGGCCATTTATATTTCTAAGAAAGAAGTATTGCAGGCCTCATAGCCAGAGACTACTATATGATGTGGAGGTTCTGATCCCAAACAGTAACACAGGGATTTAATAGCACACTTTGAATATTTTTTTTAAAATAGTAAGACAGAAAATACTGTATTTTTGTATATTTGAGAGCATAATTCATTATTCTTAAAGATATTTGGTAATCTGTTACAAATTCCATCAGAGTTGTTTTTATGTATTATTTGCTTGTTATGAAAAACAAGTTATCACATGCATTTTAGCAGTATACATCCTACTTTATGAGGGCTGTACAGATAAGTCACTGCTTTGAAAAGTTTCTGAAAAACATTCACTTGAACTCATGGTTTTCAGGTTTTATCACGCAGCTGCTTTGGCTACCAAATTTTCGTTAAGAAGTTCAGGATGTAGCTATTCTGTCTTCATCATCTCTTTCATTACTATCTTGATGAAGCTTTTCAATCTGTTTCTTTTATTGTATTTTTGTCAGTGTTAGTTCTAGATTTAATTTAGTCTTATACTGTTCTTTCTTTATGATTATCCTGTTCTTTATCTCTTCTCCACAGCCTCCCTTCAGTCCTCTGCAACCACCCTTTTACTCTCATTCTGCTTCGTTTAAGTCTTGCCTCTGTCTCCTCTCCCTGGTCCACTTCCATTCCTAAACTAACTCACCTATACAGTCCTACAGCCTCATGTCACAGTTCTTCTCATATTGTTTCCAGAGCACCTAGTCAACTTATGACTGCATCAACTTCCAACAGCATTCAATTAATAAGTGTCTGGGCAGGATTTTCAAATTTGGAGTGTTTTTCCTGTGCAAAAATACTGTTCAAAATCCCAATGAAGTCAACAGACAGTCAATGAATCAGGCCCAAAGGGTATAATGCCAGCTTTACCTTCTCAGATCTCACAGTAAAAAGCATTAGACTAGCACAAGATTTCATTTTCCTCTCTAGGCAGAGAACATGGCAGCTGTCTCCTGGCCCGGTGCTCCCTGCCTGCCCCTAAACTAGCATGCAGGGGGAGCATGGAGCTCCCCCTCGGTGGCAGCAGGGGCCCATTGCAGGGCTCCCAGGAACTGAGAGCAAATTTTCTACCTAATCCTCACATGTGTAGACAAACACCTACCCCAAAACCCTTACTTTGCAGTAGTTTACTGCACAATAGATCTAGGTTGAAGTAAATACCCTTCCTAATGCTCATTCGATGAAGATGCCTTCTCTGAATCTCAATCCACCAGAAACTTGAGTTGATTAGCATGACCCAAGGTTTAGTTGATAATAGCACCTTTGAAACCAAATTACATTGTTGGCTATAGCGTTGCACACACATGCAATGGTCAATATAAACCATTGTACTTTAAGCCCTTGTGATTTATTTCTTACTCAGCCAAGGTCTGTTAAACAGCTTCTTTATATCTATTAACCCATAAATTATCCTCTATTAAATCCAGCTCACAATTTGAAATGCATTAATATATTTGGTGCAATGAATCTTATTTAAGGACCATTACAGTAAATTGTGAAATTTATTTTCTGAAATGCTTTTGAATTAATGAATGAATGTTGTTGTTAGTGTATTATAGAACTACTGTCATATAAGGCCAACATAGAGAAGAACCTACATTTCTAGCTGAGCAAAGTGAAGATACGGGGAGAATAGTTCAAAATTGGATTCTCCTGATTGACTGCAAGAGTTTGTACTATTCAGTAAACACTGTAGGCTATAATGCTTCTTCAAACTGCATAATGAAATATGAAGTAACTGTAATGATGAAAGGGAAAATTTAAGTTTCTTGTCTTAGAAAATATTTAAGGGATCAAGTACAGCTAAATGAATGTGAAATTAATGATTTCTGCTTGGTTTGATAACATCCTTCTAATGACATGACAATCTAGTCTGTCTGCAACTCAGAAAGCTGTTTGCCAAAATCTAACTAAAATAGAATTAAATACCTTGATAGTTTGTATCATTGAGACACCTTTGCAAAGTTAACACATGTGCTTGTTCATTTCCACTTTAGGAAAAATAAAGAAATGAAAGGAAAAGCAGACAACTGATACCTGCACTATCTCTGCTTGGTATCATTCCACATTTCACAACTTTCCATTTTCTGCCTGTTGATTTGTATGCTACTGAGACATCTTAGTACCGATGCTACTTCAGATAATGACCCTCTGTATTAATCTTGTCCCTCATGGCTAGGAACAAATAGCATTAGAGACAAAGGCTGTGCAGGAACCAGAATGTCTACTCACTGGAAAAAAAATCATTTCCAAACAAGCTGTCTTTCCAAAGAAGAACAAAATGCTGGATCTGTGACTGGTCTGTGGGAAGAATGCTTAAAAAATCATTTTGATTCTCCTGAAATGGATTTTTTTTTAAAATTTCCAGCCTGAATATCCCTAACAGTCTGGATGCCTTTACTCTGCTTTATTCTATATAGAGCTAGGGCCCTATGACAGCTGTATTATGCCTCTATCAATCTAAAACATTGCAGAAATCCTACTGGAATATTTTGCACCATTACTTTATAATACTGACATTTTAAATAAGGGACAAACTAATCTTTTAACTAGGGAAGTATGCACAATATAGGGAAAAGTTTCTGGCAACAGCAGAAGTATAGTTCCTTCCTGAGAGTATAATTCAGTGAGCAGTTACCCAGTCTTTATATTCATTTTCTTACAACCAGAATTGTCACAGAATCTACCTAGAGAGTAAGAACAGTTGGCCCCTTTATGATACTCATCATTCCCAGGGTGCCAGGTGGGAAATTGGTAAATTTCATATTGTTGCAAGTGCCCTTTCAATCAACTGAAAGAACAGAATGTTTTTCCTCAAGGACTTCCCTTGACTACAAGTTAAACTTTGAAGAAGAGTAAAATATTTTTTTCTGCCTGTGACATGTTTTTCATTTGATTAGGAAGATCAATCATTATTTCTCATCTGTCAACATTTGCAGTGTTGCCTACCAATTTGACTGTCTTTTTGCTTTTGCAGTTATGATGTTACATAATTCAAAAATACATAATTATTTGTCAAGTGTCATTTACCACAAATTTCTACAATATGTTATGGGTTGCTTTGTGTGTTGTGTCCTGACTTACAGCTTTGCTTCTGCAGCATTGCTAAGAGAGTGGAATCTTCATTTGTATGATGTAGTGAATAACTCAAATGGCCTGGAAACTCAGCTAACTTTAGTTAAAAATCTATTTATATAATAATTATCTGAACAAAATATTACACTGAAAATATATCCTATCTAGGACAGGGGATATTTTGTTTGGTTTAATCTTTTCACTGAAAATGGATTCCTCTGTTGGCTCTTGACCAGTAAGGATGCATCAGCCATTAGGTTTCATCTTCACAGAGAAGAGGTAAAAATTCAGGCCTAGCCTAACCTAGTTCATCCAAAACTCATTACATTAGGGTTGTTGGTTATAGCCATGCTAGTCTAAGGACCTAGACAGGCAAGGTTATTTGGGTGAATGTGCTATCTTTTATTAGATCAACTAAATAATTGGAAAAATTGTTCTTTGCAAGCTTTTGGGCACAAACACCCTTCTTCAGGCATATTGAATGTCACAATTCACCAGCAGACTTTTGATATGCCTGAAGAAGGGTGTTTGTGTCTGAATGCTCGCAAAGAACATTTTTTCTAACTATTTAGTTTGTCTAATAAAAGATATCACATCTACCCAAAGAACCTTGTCTGCCTAAAAGTTCATTATAGTCAGTTGCATTCCCATCCGTTGATTGTAATAGGCTTTGGATCAAACCCTTAATGTACATTTAGTATTTTAAAAGCATTTAAAATAGTTTGGTTGAATCCTAACTGAATTGTAGGGTTATCTCTTTACTGCTATTGCAAAACTGACTGTAGTGTAATGCAGATACCCAAGCTAGTTCTAACTTGAGTACTAGTAGCAGTTTAGTTTTAGCATGATAATTTAACTTGCAGTGAGCTCTTTACTGCTGGAGTTATACAGCTATGGGTATTCAAGCTGGTTTATTTAAAATAAGCTCAGGTATCCCTAAACTACACTATGGTGGTTACTTTAGTGACTACAGTGTGTATATACATATCCTAGGAAATACTGGGCTGCTGATTAAAAAATGCAGCTCCTTGTCCATTAGGTAAATTGCCCCTCTTTCTCTTGCATCCTTATTTACTAGTAGAAGCATATGCATTTCATGAGGAATTGTGTTAGCATGAGCTGTGGTACTGATAGGTAATGTGAGACGGGGATGTCATTAACTATATGAGTCTCTATTTGGAATCAAACAGGGGAAACACACACATGCACGTGTGCACACACACACACATACACACACACATGTTAGCATTTGTGAAAGGAACTGGTAAGTCCAAGAGCAATCATATCATCACACTCCTACAATCAGGTCACAATTTCAGCTTTGCATTTGTTGAAAATGTACTTAATTTTGCAGGTACAAGGTTTCTTACAATAAGCAAAACTCCTTCCATCAGTGTGCAAACTACCCAAAAGCCAAGCTTAACTGGCTCCCTGCATGACAATTATGGCAACAAAATTATAAATCACACTTCCTCCCTTGCCATCCTTATGTTTGAGAAAAATACGGCTTTGAAACAGAGTTTTCAATATGTGCTTATTGGTTAAATAATATTTCAGATAAATGGGGTAATAAAGATGCCTATCCAGCCATGAAATAAATATGACTATTAACATTTTATTTGCTGGAATGAGAACTGAACATTTTATTTTCCAGGTATCAACAGTTCTAGAATTTGGTCGCATCATAATTTATACTACCAGCCTTCGTGTGGTTAGAACCACTTTTGAAAGATGTGAACTGGTAAGGAAGATCTTCCAAAATCACAGAGTGAAGTTTGAAGAGAAAAACATTGCTCTGAACAGTGATTATGGAAAAGAACTAGATGAAAGGTGCAGGAGGGTATGTGAAGTTCCATCACTACCTGTTGTGTTTATTGATGGCCATTATCTTGGGGTAAGTACAGCAGGGAT